GAGGAGGAGGAGGAGGAGGAGGAGCAGCAGGAAGAGGAGGGGGAGGAGGAGGAGGAGGAGGGGGAGGAGGAGGATGAGGAAGAGGAAAGCGAACAGGAAAAGAGGAACGCTGTTTTCTCGTTTTCCACAATGGGTTTGCGAACCTCACCTTCGTGTACTATTGGCTCTATAGCCCCTGTATTGTTTTCTTACGAGCGAACGGCGAAATTGTGGGTTTCCGAACCCCTTCTTCGTGTACTATTAGAATCAGTGGGCTTCCGAACCTCATTTTCGTGTACTATTAGCTCCATAGCCCCTTGTATTGTTTTCCCATCAGCGAATGGCGAAATTGTGGGTTTCCGAACTCCTGCTTCGTGTACGATTAAACTCCGACTATTCTATGCTATTCTATTAGGTTTTAACTGATTGTGTGAAACCGAACCCGAACCCGAACCCGAACCCGAACCCGAACCCTTACCCTTACCCATTCATTCTCAGTCGACACGAAGATGAGGTTTGACCCTAGTAGTAGCAGTCGTAGTAGTAAAATAAGAAGTAGTAGTAGTAGTAGTAGTAGTAGTAGTAGTAGTAGTAGTAGTCGTAGTAGTAGTAGTAGTAGTAGTAGTAGTAGTACTAATAGTAGTAGTAATAGTAGTGGTAGTAGTAGTAGTAGTAGAAGTATTCATCGCAGTAGTAATCTTAGTAGCACGAATAAAAAAATAATAGTCGTAGTGTTTGACTAGTAGTAATAGTAGCAGTAGTCGTAGTAGCAGTAGTAGTAGTAGTCATAGTAGCATTAATAGTAGAAGTAGTAGTAGTAGATGTCCTAGTAGTAGTAGTAGTACTACTACTACTACTACTACTACTAGTAGTCGTAGTAGTAGTCGCAGTTGTCGTGGCCGTAGTAGCTGAAGTAATAATAGCCGTAGTATGAAATTAGTAGGCGTAGTAGTCGTAGTAGTGGTAGTAGTCGTAGTTGTAGTAGTAGCAGTAGTGGTCACAGTAGTAGTAGTAGTAGTAGTAGTAGTAGTAGTCGTCGTATTAGTAGTAATCGTAGTAGTAGTAGTAGTAGTAGTAGTAGTAGTAGTGGTGGTAGTAGTAGTAATAGTAATAGTAGTAGTCGTGGTAGCAGTAGTAGTAGTAGTAGTAGTAGTAGTAGTAGTATTAGTAGTAGTAGTAGTAGTAGTAGTAGTAGCAATAGTAGTAGTCGTAGTGGTCGTAGTTGAAGTAGCCGTGGAAGTAGTGGTGGAAGTAGTGATAGTAGTAGTAGTAGTAGTAGTAGTAGTAGTAGTAGTAGTAGTAATAGTAGTAGTCGTACTAGTAGTAGTAGTAGTAGTTGTTGTTGTAGTAGTCGTAGTACTCGTAGTAGTCGTAGTAGTCGTAGTAGTAGAAGTAGTAGTAGTAGTAGCCGTAGTAGCCGCCGGTGTAGTAGTAGTAGTAGTAGTAGTAGTAGTAGTAGTAGTAGTAATAGTAGGAGTAGTAGTACGAGTATCAGTCGCAATCGTAGTAAGGGCTCGTAGTGGTAGTAGTGGTAGTCGTAGCCGTAGTTGTCGTAGTCGTCGTAGTTGTAATAAGTGTAGTAGTAGTTGTAGTCGTCGTAGCAGTGGTAGCAGTGGTAGTAGTAGCAATAGTAGTACTACCGTAACACCCCGCAGATGCGGATAAGAGCGACGGGGCGGTGGGGACGTCTGTAGTTTGCGAGACTCTGAAGAAGCCCGCCGCAGGCGCCAAAGTTTCACAAATTATGCAACGAGCCCGCCGCAGGCGCTGATTTTTGCGTTAAACTAATGTGGGTCGGTCGCGGATGGGTCGAGGGTGGGTCGCACATGGATAGCGGGTGGGTCGCTGTCGGGCCGCGGGTGTAGAGGGCAGAAAATCCACCCCACAATAATCACCCCGACAAGCGAAGACGTTTAGTAAACGCACACAAGGAATGAATCGAACAGGGCAGGGCTGTCTAGTAAACGCCCAAGGCCGTTTAGTAAACGTAGATTGTCGGGTCCGGGTGGCTTCTCCTCCCTTGAGGGTGGGTCGCGGGGTGGGTCGCGGGTGGGTCGCGGGGTGGGTCGCGGGTGGGTCGCGGGTGGGTCGCGGCTGGGTTGCGGGGTGGGTCGCGGGTGGGTCGTGGGCTGGGTCGCGGGGGGGTCGCGGGTGGGTCGCGGGTTGGTCGCGGGGTGGGTCGCGGGTGGGTCGTGGGCTGGGTCGCGGGGTGGGTCGCGGGCTGGGTCGCGGGGTGGGTCGCGGGGTGGGTCGCGGGATGGGTCGCGGGGTGGGTCGCGGGTGGGTCGCGGGTGGGACAACTACAAGCAACAACAACAACCAACGACGCAACAAACACAGTTCTCACCACGAATTCCCGATTCAGCAGAGACAATGAATGACCGCTCGACCCCTTCACTCTGACTATTCGTAGGAGAGGTACAATAATCGTAGCAGTAGTAGTAGTAGTAATAATAATAGTAGTAGTAGGAGTAGTAGTAGTAGTAGTAGTAGTAGTACTACTACTACTACCAAGTAGTCTGGGTCTTAATACAAGTTGTAGTAGTGGTGATCATGTGAGAAATTTTAGTAGTAGAAGTAGTAGTAGTAGTAGTAGTAGTAGTCGTAGTAGTAGTAGTAGTAGTAGTAGTAGTAGTAATAGTAGTAGTAGTAGTAGTAGTAGTCGTATTACAAATGATACTACCCGTCGAAGTCGAAGTCGTAGTAGTCGTAGTCGTAGTTGTAGTAGTAGTCAAAATGATAGTAGTAGTAGTAGTAGTCGTAGTAGTGGCAGTAGTAGTAGTAGTAGTAGTCGTAGTCGTAGTAGTAGTAGTAGTAGTAGTAGTAGTAGTAGTGGTGGAAGGAGCAGTAGAAGCTGTGGTAGTAGTGGTAGTACTAGTAGTAGTAGTACTCGTAATAGTCGTAGTGGTGGTAGTACTGGTAGTAGTGGTAGTAGCACTAGCAATAGGAGTAGTAGTAGTAGTAGTAGTAGTAGTAGTACTAGTAGTAGTAGTAGTAGTAGTCGTAGTTGTAGTAGTAGTAGTAGTAGTAGTAGCAGCAGCAGTAGTAGTAGTAGTGGTGGAGTAGCCGTAGAAATAGTAGTAGTAGCAGTAGCAGTAGTACTAGTAGTAGTAGTAGTAGTAGTAGTAGTAGTAGTAGTAGTAGTAGTAGTAGTAGTAGTAGTAGTAGTAGTACTTGTTGTTGTACTAGTCGTAGTAGCAATGGTAGTAGTAGTCGTCGTAGTAGCAGTGGTAATAATATGTTTCGTCGCCGTCGCCCTCGCATTACTACTAATCATTGTGTTTGTGATATTAGTAGTAGCCGCCCTAATAGTAGAAATGATAAAAGTAGTAATGCTAGTAAATCGTAGTCGTAGTCGTAATAGCAGTAGTTGTAATACTAGTCGTAGTAGTGGAAAAATCGTAGTAGTAGTAGTAGTAGTAGTAGTAGTGATAGTAGTAATAGGTAGTTGTAGCCGTAGTCGTAGTAGTAGTAGTAGTAGTAGTACTAGTAGTAGTAATGGTAGTCGTAGTCGTAGTCGTAGTCGTAGTAGTAGTAGTAATCGTAGTAGTAGTAGTCGTAGTAGTAGTAGTAGTAGTAGTAGTAGTACTAGCAGCAGTAGTAGTAGTAGTAGTAGTAGTAGTAGTAGTGGAAGTAGTAGTAGTAGTAGTAGTAGTAGTAGTAGCAGTCGTAGTGATGGTAGTAGTATTCGTCGTAGTCGTAGTAGTCGACGTGAGTGGTAGTGGTAAATAGTAGTAGTAAGAGTAGTAGTAGTAGTAGTCGTAGTAGTAGTAGTAGAAGTAGTAGTGGTCGAAGTCGTCGCAGTAGTAGTCTAGTAGTAGTAGTAGAAGGAATAGAAGTAGTGGAAATAATAGAAGAAGTAGTAGAAGAAGTAGTAGTAGTACTAGTAGTAGTAGTAATAGTAGTAGTGGTAGTAGTAGTAGGAGTAGTAGTAGTAGTAGTAGTAGTAGGAGTAGTAGTAGTAGTAGTAGGTAGGTAGTAGTAGTAGTAGTAGTAGTAGTAGTAGTAGTAGTAGTAGTAGTAGTAGTAGTAGTAGTAGTAGTAGTAGTAGTAGTAGTAGTAGTAGTAGTAGTATAGTATAGTAGTAGTAGTAGTAGGAGGGGGAGGAGGAGTGGTAGCAGCAGCAGTGAAAGTAGCAAGAGGGGGAAAAATGTGGACTGTCGGGGCACTGCGCGATGCTGTTGAAGATCTTCGGCCGCAGGGGTGTTACATTTCCGTACGGCGATTATGCGTGACGGGGTCGCTGCAGACGGGGTCGGGGGATCGTGTCGGATCACGGAGCGTCGGCGACATGGCGCGATGCAGAGCCCGAATTTCCTTCGTCCCTGCGTGGGGGGAAGTCGGCGATGTGGTGCGATCATCCGACCCCATCTCCCTGGTCGAGAGGCCCAACCCTCCAGGCGTCGTGGTCACAAAATTCAGGGCCGGCGGCCGTGCCACGGTGTCGGGCTTGCAGAGGCCAGCTTCGGGCCCCAGGGCCGTCAAAGAACGTCTCAGCGTGGAAAACCAGCCACGCGGACGACCAGGAACCCACGCTGTGAAGAAACATCACGTCGCAGGCACGGGGGCGTCCTAATGCATCTACGATGCGGCATGATTCTACACTCTCATCCACTCCAGCCACACCTGGGCTGCCTAGGCCCTGCAAGTTCAGGAGCAGGGGGGGTCAATGACTGGGGGATGATCTTTGCCTCCGCGGCTGAATGGAAGCCGCATGGCTAGAGGTACCCTTGATTTGGCGTGAAGGACACCGACCCTGAAGGAAAAAGGTCCTGGACCACGGGGCCAAGTTTTCACCCTGCCCACCATAACCAAGCGTGAGTGATTCGAATCGGGTGTGCCGGGTGTGCCGCGCCATGGCGGCACATCGGATGCAATGCACCTGGCGTGTGCAACAAACACGCACCTTCATAGCGGCTCGCCTGCTCAAAACACGGGAGGGGGAGAAGAAGACGGGTGGAGAACCAGCAGGGGTTGGGGGGAAGTTAATCGAAGGAGAGACAAGCGCGAATTGCCAATACCTTCGTAGCTCTGAGGTGCCTGAGAGATTCCCGATCCAAGCCTCAGCAATCGTGAACACGTCACCCACCAAGACAGAGACGGTCTCGCCCTCTCCGAACGTGGCGTCCATCGCCCACTGCAGGTGGTCCTCGAAAGTGTAGCATCGAGCCACGGCTGCGAGTCCGTGAGATTCATCTAACAAAACCCGCGGACAACCCCTCCCGGAGGTGCATGGAACTCAAAGTTGCTTGGATGTCCTGGGCGAAGCGGGCAAGGACACCTGAAGTCAGAGCATATCGGAATTAGAGCACTGAGTTCCGAGGATGTCTCAATCAAAACGGACCGGAACACCTCGCGAACCAAACACTGAGGGCGTCCGCGGGCCAACCTCTTGAACAACCCCATGAGGGTCCGGACCCCCCCCGTGCAAGCCCACTTAGACAAAGCTCCCTGGGGCTTTGTCCATAGTAGCAGCCGATGACCCTTCCTTCAATGCCCAGAAGCATAAGAAGCACTACAAATAACATGTTAGCTTCTTGCCTGGATGGCCGGCGGCGCCATGAATCCTGTATCCAAACATGCTGACGTCCCACTTTTGCTTCCGCCGCCTTCAGCCGACCTTCAAGTGGCCTCCGCTGGCAGACCGCCGCAATATCATCAGGGCCCCGTGAACTGGGACTCTGACAGATGAGCCAAAGCACTGGCGCACCCCGGAAATTGGAGCCGTGTGTCGAAGCATTCTCCGATCTTCGTTCCCTCCCGCTGAGTCTGGCAAAGTCCTGGCTTGTGAACGTTTTCTTCTTCGGCGTTTCGACATTCGGCGGAATGGGAGGGGAGGGGGCGGGTCTGGCCTTGAACCTCTGCCTACGGCAGGTTCGCGTCGTGCCGACCCCAGCGTTGGTTCCTGACACCGCGCTGGATCGTTCAACCTTGAACGATCGGCCGTCTCCGCAACGTCCGATCGTTCAACATCGACCGATTCTGGGTCGCCCGCGGCGTTCAACCTTGAACGTCGGCGGCGGGGTCGCCGCCGGTCGACACGACGCGAACCTACCGTAATGCGACTGTTTGCAACAGAGCATCTTCATGGGGGAGAGACGCCGCCTGCCGGAAGCAGGCGCCCAAAGCAGCAGACATCTACTCCACGGGGCGGACATCTGGGAGGGTGTCCGGGCCCGGTGTTGGTCCTCCTCCTCCTCCTCCTCCTGCTCCTCCTCGTCCTCGCCTTCGTCCCTCCTCCTCCTCCTCCTCCTCCTCCTCTTCCTCCTCCTATTCCTCCTCGTTCTCCTCCGCCTTCTTCTCCTCTTCCTCCTCCTCCTTCTGGCAAAACCCTGGCTTCCAGAATCCTAGTCTGAAGGCCCTGATGGTTACTTCCGCTGGCCTTCCGCGCCGAGAACGAGGCCCTACCTGGAGCGCCATCCGTTTTAGGCCGTGGCTGCTCTTGGTCGTCACCCACGCGGCTCACAGTCTGGACCGCGTGACCGGAGGCACGAAGCCTAAATTCGAGTGACGACCACTGCTGCCGTAGCGAGAGCGAACCCCCACTCCTCCTCCAGCTCCTGCTCCTCCTGCTCCTCCTCCTCTTCCTCATCATCATCATCATCATCCTCCTGCTCCTGCCCCTGCTCCTGCTCCTCCTGCTCCTCCTCCTCCTCTTCCTCCTCTTCACCTCCCCCCTCTCCTCCTCATCCTCATCCTACCTTTCCCGCCTGCCCCTCCTCCTTGTCCGTCCCTCCTCTTCATTCCTACTCTCTCCCCGTCCTTCTCCTCCTCCTCCTCCTCCTCCTCCTCCTCCTCGTCCGCCCGTTCCTCGCCCTGCCGCTCCTGGTCCTCCTCCTGCTCCTGCTCCTCCCATTCCTCCTCCCTTCTCCGCCCTCTTCCTTGTCCCTCGCCTCATCACCCCTTTCCTCATCCGTCCCTTCTCCTCCCCTGCTCCTCCCCTGCTGTTCCTCCTCCTCCCCGGGAGAAGAAGAGGGAGACGCCAGCCTGCCCTGACCCGCCCCCTGCCGAGGGGGGATATCTCGCGGTAAGGCCTCTGGAGTAAAGGGGAGCAGGAACGAGGGAGAGGGCCATCTGCAGAGATGCGGAGATGCAGAGAGGGGAGAAGGAGAGGCACAGAGAGGGGGAGAGGAAGACAAGGAGAGAGGAACGTAAGGAAATGGATAAAGAGGGGAGAAAGGACGGAAGGAGAAACGGGGATATGGATACCATACTAGATTGTTAATGAGACAAGGTGAGATTAGCATGGGGGGTACAGGGGAGAGGAAGAGAGGGAGAGGCCGAGAGAGGCCGAGAGAGGCCGAGAGAGGAAGAGAAATAGAGAGACGGAGACGGATTGAAATCTCACCAGCCAATTTGGGCGTAGGTTGTCTAGAGAGTTAGATATTCAGATGTTTTTCTGCCCCTTGGGGGAGATTTCCACCTCTCCCCCATACTCCCTCTCCCGGGGTCTGGAGGGGAAATTGGGGGGGCATCGCGAGGCGTTGGAGCGCCCAAGATGGCCTCAGATAGCCCAAGGTGGCCTCCAAGATCGCACAAGATAGCCCAATATGGCTCACGATAGCTTCCAGCATGCCCCCGGAGGCGCCATGACCGTCCCAAGACGGCTCCAACTGGCCTCGGTGTCTCCCAAGAACACCCCCGAGAGCCCAACATCTTCCAAACCAAATGGGAATCACTGTGCTTTGGGGCTCGTCGATTCCGATGGGCTCTCCAAGCACCAAAATGGCTCCAAGATTGCTCAAGAGGGCCCAAACACGGTCCCAAGACGGCCCTAAGAGTGCCCCAGAAGCGCCGAAAGAGGGCCCCAAGAGACAATGTTTCGGCCTCCGATGGGAGGGGAGACCGTAGTAGACGCCGCCCCCCTTTTGAATTGATGCCCTCCACGATTGCCGCAAGAGGCCCCTCAAGACCCCAAGAGGGCCCCAAGAGTGCCCCAAGAGGGCCACACGAGGGCCCCGCGAGAATAGGGCCACATAAAGGCCCAAAGATGCCTCAAAGAGGCTCTTAGAGTTTGAATGCATGCTGCTACACGTGCCTGATCCAGGCAACTCACCTGGTGATTGATTTTGGATGGGATGGTGGGGATACTTTTTTTTTGGTCGGCGGCTCCGAAGCAACGGTCACGAAGCGAAAGCGACATCCGGGGCACGGTACGAGGCGAATTTGCAATAATGAGAATACGCGAAGCATCATACATAGAGAGGGAGAGAAGCAGAGACGGAGATGCAGAGAGCTTGGGATGTTCCTTTAGCTAAGGTGGGCGCAGCCGACCGTAGCTGATCATAGAGCAGCCGAACAAATCGAATATTCGGTGTAGTCGTTTGAGCTGCGCTTTGGTATGTTCCCCATCCTCTTTATCCTCTTCTTCCTCTGGAAGTTTGTTCTAGAGTCTTCTGCAGCGGCATGCTTGCACCGCTGACGGTTCTGAATCCTCCTCCTCCCTCCTCCATCACTGCATCCCCGTCCCCCTCCTCCTGCCTCCCCCTCTCCGTTCGCCGGGGCATGCTCCGATTCCTCGTCCTCCACCTCCTTCAGCTGTCTCCTCGTTCCACTCCCCCCCTCCTTTTGCCCGAGACAGGATACCCACCACACTCCATGAGCATAGAGGGCGCTCTCCCCCCCTCCTCTTCCTGGTCCTTGTCCTATTCGTCCCTCGTTTTCTCTTCCTACGCTTCCCTCCTCCTTTTCCTTGTCCACCCATTTTCCTGACATCTAACTCCTCCTCGTCGGGCCACCAAACGTATCGGTAAAGCGGACCGGGCGTTTTGCCTGCGACCCCCCTTCCGTTTATGGGCCCGAAGCTGGACATTTATGTTAAATACACGGATGGCGGGGGGTCGCTTTCAAAATGTGGCTCCCACCTTTTCGCCGCGCACGATCGTCTTAGCAGCGTCCAACATTTACGCGCCGTGCACATTCGTCGTAAACGCTACCAACCGTTACACGGGTGGATGGGTGTCGTTTGGGAAATGTGGTTCTAGCCCTACCGCCGCGCACATTCGTCCCAAACGATTCCAACGGCTACACCTATGAAAGGCGGCTCCATTTCAACATGTGCCCCTCGCTTTAGCGCAGCGCACTTTCATCTTACAAGCTTCCAGCAGTTCCACGGACTGAGGGGGGTGGTTTTCAAAATGTGGCTCTAGCCCTGGCGCCGCGCACATTCGTCCCAAACTCCTCCAGCAATACCGCGGGTGGAGGGCAGCCTCTCTTCAACGTGCAGCTTTCGTTCGATGCCCACCTGCCCGCCCGGATCCGAAATCCAGGACTGCGCAACACGTACACGGATGGAGGGCGCTTCCTTCTCCCATCAGGGCTCTGGCTTGACTTCCTTGGCGGTGAAAGGCATCATAGCCAAGCGTGCCGCATTTAACAGGGTATATGTTGACCCCTATCCCAGGCTTCGTGGGGATTCCGAATGGACCAGAAATTTGGGGCCTAACCCTGGGATATACGATGGGGGGTGTCCATTCTCGATAGGGGTGCGTCCGAATAGCCCCCTTGGGGTGTATCCCAAGGTTTTCCCATTCTTCTGAGCGGCCAGATAACAGGGGATGCGTCGACCCCTATCCCAGGTTTCGTGAGGTTTTCGAGAGGATAAAAAATTTGGGGCCCAACCCTGGGATATACGAGGGGGGGCGTCCATCCTCGATAGGGGTACGTCCGAATAGCCCCCTCGGGGTGTATCCCAAGATTCCCCGCCTTTTCTGAGCGGCCAAACTTTTCCGGCAGAACTCGGGGATTGGGGGAGAACAGTAGCCTGCGACCAGACTTTTCGGGCGAAACTCGGGGATTGGGGGAGAAACATCGCCCGCGAGCATTCATAGTACCAGCTGCCCAGCTCGAGCGCGGACGTTTGTCGAAGCGGGGGGGCTCTCGCTGGACACCCCCCGCTGGTCTTGCTGCTCCTGCCTCGCCGCCGCCCGCACCGGAGCAGCGGATGGCAGCTCCCTGGCAACACGGGGGGAATCTCGCCTGCACTGCACGACCACGGGGCGCTCGTCTGCCCAGGGGCTCCGCGCCCTTGTCAAAAAAGGTTGTTATTGCAAGAGCTGGGGAGGAGGAGACTTCGGACGGGTGGGCACGCTGCACCCTCGTTGATGCATCTTGGGCTTACTCTGGTCCTCTTCCTCCTTGTCCTCTTCCTCCTCCTCCTCCTCCTCCTCCTCCTCCTCCTCCTCCTCTCCCTCGTCCTCCTCCTGACGTCCCCCTCCTCCTGCTACTCCTCATCCTTGCTCCTTTTCATAATCCTCCCATTTCGCTACCCCCCACCCCCCACTCCCCCGTTCCGCGCACGCCTCCTCCTCCTCCTCCTCCTCCTCCTCCTCCTCCTCCTCGTCCTCCTCCTCCTCCTCCTCCTCCTCCTCCTCCTCCCCGTTTCCTCCTTACACATTATGAATGCTACTCTCCTCTCTCCTCATCGGATCGGCGCTTTGCTCCCGTCGTTCAACATGGCACCCTCGCCCCAGCGCGAGCCTCTTCTTCTGGATCCGAATGTTTTCTTGCGTCGTTGTCGCCCCCCTTCTTTCCCCTCCTCCGCCTTCCCCTGGTCATCATGCCCTTCCCGTTCCTTCCACTGCAGCTCCTGGTGCTTGCTGCTCGTCCTCGTTCTCCTCCTAGCTCATCCACCTCCTTCTCCTCCTGTTCTTCGTCCTGCTCATCCGCCACCTCCTCCTCCAGTGCACGCGGCTCCCTGTTTTTACGATTGCGCATCACACGATGGGGCCCGCGTTCAAAATTCGAGGTCCGCTGTGACACGCGTCGGCGGATATAGAAACAAGCAGCGGAATGCGAAGGGATTGGTGATAGGGGAAGGGTATCATATATGGCGCGAACGCACAAGCTTGCCTCCTCGCCTTTCCTTCCCCCATTCCCCCCTCCCCCGCACCAACTGTCTTTTCCTCCTCCTCCTCCTCCTCCTCCTCCACCTCCTCCTCTTCCTCCACAATGAGATTATATGAATACTGCTCACCTCGCTCCCCTGATGACGTCCAGAAGATGTTCGGCCCCCCTCCGCGTTTTGTTGTTTACGCAGAATTCCCGGGAATTCGGTTTTCTCTTTGCGTGTTTCCAACATGTTGCTCCCGCTGAAACGCTGGCTTCATTTGCGGGCTTCCGCTCGTTCCGAATCGTGTTCCCGCTGCAGCGCTGGCCTCATTTCCGAGTTCCGCTCGATCCGAATCGCGCTCCCGCTGCAACGCTGGCCTGATTTCCGCGCTTCCGCTCGTTCCGAATCGTGCTCCCGCTGCAGCGCTGGCGTCATTATTTCCAGTGCCACGACATGGCATGCAATGCAATGCTATGTGGTGTTCCGCAATGCGATGCCATGCCTTCAGCTGCAACGCGAGGATAGGCGGTGCTTAACTGCGGAGTGCCACGCCATGCTATGCTTTGGTCTTCAACGCCATGCTATGCCATGTGCTGTTATGTGCCGATGTGCGACAGTGCGAAGCCATTATTTGCGTTGCAACGCTTTGTGATGCAATTCTTCACTTCGCAACGCCACGCCATGCTATGACATACCACGCTCTGCCGTGTTCTACGCCCTGATATGCCGTGCTCTACAATGCATCGCGCACCCTCTCGGGATCATTGCTCTGCTCAACATCTGACTGTGCGAATAGAGAGGAGATCTACACCACGGTCAGGGATGGGAGGGAGGGGTGGGACGTCCGATATGACGCGAGCGCACCCAGCTTGTCCTCCTCCCCCCCCCTCCCCCTTCTGCCCCCCCTCCTTCTCTTCCTCCTCCTCCTCCTCCTCCTCCTCCTCCTCCTCCTCCTCTTCTCCCTTCTTCCTCCTCCACCTCCTTCCCCCTCCTCCTCCGACTCCTCCTCCTCCTCCTCCTCTCCTCCCGTCCTTGACTCCTCTGCGACGGCCAGCGATGACAACGACGGGTCCTGGAGCTCCGCTGGGAGCCGGTCCCCGGGCCCGAGGTGTCGGGGCGCCAGCAGGATGTCCACCTCGGCTCTGGGGCCCCAGCCGTCGTCCGAAGGGGAATCCCAGGCGTGTGGCGGATCGCGTTTTCAATCCCAGCGCGATTACTCGATTTCGGCTTCCCGGGGGGGTGGCTTTCAGGACCCCAGGTCGTCAGAAAACTACCTGGAATGCGAAGTGTGTCCCGAAGCCCTCTGGCAAGGGGTCGAGAATTCTGGGGCCAAACGAATGAAAATATCAACCCGCCATAAATCTGCGGAGAGTGAAAAGAAGAGAGAGGAGGAGGAGGAGGAGGAGGAGGAGGAGGAGGAGGAGGAGAGGAGGAGGAGGGGGAAGAGGAGGAGGAGGAGGAGGAGGAGAAGGAGGAGGAGAAGGATGATAAAGAGGGGGAAAAGGAGGTGGACACGGAGGAGGAGGACGAGAACGAGGAGGGCGTTGAAAAGAAATAAGAAGTAGGAGGAGGAGGAAGAAGAGGAGGAGGCGGATAAAGAGGGACGACGAGACACAGCGTCATATGATGAAATTGCCCCGAATCGCTCTACCCATGGGCATGGTCAGCCATCGATCGCGCTGCATGACCG